ACGACCAAATGGGAAGAGGCGAGGATTACTATTCCTATGCACGACCACACCAAGCTTAGAACAGTCGAAACAATCGAAATATTTAAGCAATCCCTCAAAGACGGTTGTATCAACAGCAGAGATGCGGACTCGCTCTCCTCCGCTTGGAAATCATTCTTCGACAACCCCTTGAAATAAATAGACCATCCCACCCTCACCGCGTGCAACTGTTTGCGCTTTTTTACTTGTCGCGTTTATTTCCAATTCTACCTTCTAATCGTAACCCCCTTCCCATCCACGGTCGTTCGCACGCCTCTTCTCACTGTAGCGTTGAGTGTTTACGGCCTCAACTATGACGTCACTCCCCACTAACCCCCTGTTGTGGTTGTGCATCCCCTGTACGTAGCGCGCTTACTCTAAAACCTTTTTTCCCCCAACTTTAGCAAGTATCCTATCTGCACACCTCCCTTCTTTACCAAAAGTATGTAATTTTCGCCCTCGGTATCGTATACCTATCATCGATGATGACTTCACTGGTAAGACGATACCTGGGTAAACATTGGCAGCATTTAAACTTCTTCTAACCGACGCTCCACAGTGCACCCGAGGAAGGCCTATTAAGAAGGCCGGAAACGTTTGTACTCTTGTTAATAAGGCTAGAAATTAGTGAGAAAGGTTTGGTGCTGTATATTTTATGACTCATAAGAAAAATAAAAACATTTTTTCGAAATCGCTTTCACTTAAATTTGTTAAAATTGTCAAATGAATTTTTTAGAAGCTGTAGTCTATTGATAGTGTATACTAAAATACTTGAATATCCAAAACATTGCTTTGTTTTTCCGAAGATCCATTGTAATAACACAGCTGTAGTCATTTAAACATTAATCGGTCACGACAATTAAAAGAATTATTTTGTTTACAAAGAGAATTTCCAAGTATAACTCCCGTTTCTGTTTAATGCAATATTGTAATTTCAAATTATAAAGCAAGTCATGTAATTTGATTATACTGTCATGGAACATAGAAATATCACCGTTACACCGTATTATCTACAGTATGTATTTGGAAATATGATTAATGTATAAATAATTATCAGTTACAAAGTTCGATATTTATAACTAAATCATTTGGACGGATAAAAAAGATATATATTCGTGAAATTATCACTGAAAGTCGACCGATTTTGTTTCGTGTGTAAATTTTTAAGTCAATTAGAAAAGTTGCGTACTGTGCACACTGCATCCAATGTATACTAAATAAAAATATAAATCAATCGTATCACTTACCAATTAAATGTTGCATGTCTTCGATTACATCGTATCTTTCAATTTCTTCTAAAAGAAGCTTTAATTTTCCAATAGTGCTGTTTGGCAATACCTCCCATTCTTCAAAGATTTTCTTTGTCGGATTTCCTGTAGCTTCGAAACTTTTAATTGTCATATAATCGAAATTCATTAGTTCGGCTAAACCTCGATAATCCTTACATATATATTTCGAAGTAGGTATTTCCATTTGAGGATTCAGCATTCTGCTTAGAAGATTTCTACTTGATACGTTCAACACCCTAGCCGGGATTGTATCGTAATCGTATTCATCATTTGACATGTTCAGTNCTCATACAACATGGAGTTCACATAAAACGGAATTATCAACAGTGTTATAGGGAGTCAACTGTACTATAATATAATATAATATAAGGGTTAGAAGTAAGAAATAATCCAATAATCTTAATGTTTGTTCATATTTTTTTCCTGGGCAACGCCGGGCTTACGTGCTAGTTGACATATAATCGAAATTCATTAGTTTGGCTAAACCTCGATAATCCTTACATATTTATTTCGAAGTAGAAATTTTTTAATTAGAGGATTGAGTATAAGATTTCTACTAGATACGTTCAACATCCTAGCCGGGATTATATCGTAATCGTATTTATCATTTGACATGTTGAATTTTTACTGAATTTATATTTTAACAAATTAATATAAAAGTAACTTTGTTTCATAGTTTTACAATATATATTTATATAAGTATTCACTAACCTGTATTTCACATGTAAAATATAAAAAAAATAGTAATCTGCCCATTTAAATTAATGATGTAAATTTAAACAGCTTTATAACAATGACTTTCGATTGAGTTACGTTAATAACAAGTTTCAAAGTTCTTTGAGGTATTTCATGAAACGTTTAATTATTATTTTGCATCATTTAATACAGGTGCCTAGTGCTATGGCCCGACCAAAGTCAAGACACAATTACAGAAAAATTTACTTGGTTATGGAATGTTTGTGTATGTCTCTGTGTTTCAGAATTTAAGAATAACTATAGAAAAAATAGTTGCTGTTTTGTATAGAACCTTTCGTCCTCTAAATCTATATTAATAATAAAATGTGATTAATTTTACCATTCTGTAATAAAATTTGTTAAATATGTTAAATAATTTGTACTTACTAAAATTATATAAGAACTAAAACTGCAAAATTTTCCAGAATAGCTGAATTTTTTCGAAAAATTCTCCACAATAATATCAATATTGCAGATACAATTTTAATATTTTCAATATTCGTAACTTTTTATCGAAATGTTCTTTCAAAGAGTTATTTATTGAATTTCCACGTAATGATTTTTTCTATTTCATAATTTGAAAATATGTAAGATACCTAATATTGTATATTATATAGTTGGAAGATGGAAAAATTACACACAGAATTATATTTTCAGTTTATATTATTTCGTTTTAAAATCCTAATACATTTTTTGTGCATTAGGATTTTAAAGCGCTTTTCTTTCACTTAGGTCATATTATGATAATACTGTAATAAACAAAATACTGTACTTATTTATACGTGTTCGTATGCTTTAAATATACTGTCAGAATTTAAAATTCTGAAATTATACTCGCTTTATTATATCATCACAAAATCTTTGACTTATAAAGTCAGAGACTTCCAATTAGTTGTAGTTAATAACAATATCATATTAAGAATTAGATATTTGACTGATTATAATTGTATCTATCTACTTTTTATGGAGAAGTATACAAAACTTTATAAATTCGAAATGATTATTATTTAACATATAGCATATTCGTTTTAAGTAACATTTAACTTTAAAAATTATATTTAAATGTTTTATAGAAAAAGTTTCGCATTTTTAAGTTAAATAACCAACGAAAAAATACCGATTGATTTACTTTAATAAAAGCATTATTATTTATAAATTAACCCTTAATTTAAAAAAATTTTCAATAGTCGCTAATACTGAAAACAAAGAATTTAACAAAAACAGCTACCAGAGTTAATGATTTTGAAACAGTAACCATATTTTTAGAATACTGTTTTAGTTAAAAAGTTTTATTTCATAACCAGCAAACAAATACACTTAATAAATAAGCAGAATTACGAAATATGAGAATAAGGACAAAATCAGTTCGATCATACTTCTTGCTTTTTGTATCTTTAGTTATGTAAGGATGTTGTTATAAAATCATATCATAGCACCCAGATAGAACTATAGATATTTTAATGATCTAAATTGGAATTTTCTCCATTTAGGCAGGTTAAAATACATGAGATGCAATAAAAAAATTTAAAAAGAACAATTAATTTTTAATGATAATATGTTAAATTATTGTTAAACAAAAAAAAACATTATATATTTTCCAACTTCTCCTTCGCGAATATAAAATTCCCAACAAAATTTCCCCATTAATACCCCTTTCCCATTTTTTTCCAGTTGAGTTTGCCAGATTGGGAGTTCCCCAATCTGGCAAACTGTCTTCACCTCCCGTGCGTTAATTTGTGACAAGAAAAGCAGCAGACTAGATCCTGAAAGTGCTTGAATGCTTCTTTTCGTAAATAAAAATGTGCAGTTGGTGAGAATGAGAACAATTAATATAATTATATTCCCATTCTTAGAATTTAGTATTAATTATTCACATAATTAATACAGTAATGTTAATAATTTTGTATAATAATTTAAAAAATTATTAACAATATAATATTCAATTATTAAAGTATCGAGAACAATATTTATTTCCATTTGAATAAAAAAGAACAAGATCAACATTTTAATATTCTATTCACGGACACTTTACACCTGCGACATTTTGCAATGTTGCATTGTTGGAATAAAAACCAGTTTCTTATTGAAATAATATTTTAAACAATTTACTTTCTAAACGGACATATTCAACTCTATCAAAAACTTTTTGAGATTATGAAATGCAAATAAGGTTAAAAATAGTTTTATCTTCCTAAATTGGGAAAACACTAAAACAATTTAGTCTTTTCCCAATTTTAAGATTAACGCTTAACTTGGATAATGTATACAGCACGATAACTAATTATGTATATATATAAAAAATTTTTAAATATTTTAATATATATATATATACATAATTATTTCATATTGGATTAAACACTTTAATATTTGTATTGCTCTAATGACGATGATTTATCATCGATCAATTTAACTTAAATTTCTCAAATTTAAGTTAAATTGATCGATTTTGAAATCATTTTATGAAAGCATAAAATCGTAAAAATTGAAAGGTATATACTGGAATGAACAAACAAATTTTAGTGCATTACGTTTATCATTCTACATAATATCAAGAAAAATATTTCGAACAAAATACGACTACTTTAAGTAGTTCAAAGTAAAAAGAAACTGTACAATTTAACTTACAAATTTAAGTAAACTGTTTGAATGAAAACTCATTAAACAGTTGTTTCATTTTTCTCAAGGAGGATATTACAATTATTATTAATCTTTTATTTATTATTTTACATGCAACAGACTTATTTGGGATAACGAATATATAAGATTCACTATGGCAAAAATTAACATTATTGAGTCGATATTAAACATTATATAATTTCGAACGATCATTTTTAATAAAAAAAATAAAAGATTTATAATTATCATTTATAACTGCTTATTAATGGGAGGTAATTTTTTTTTCGGTTAAATATAGGCCTATAGCCTATACTAGTTTTAGAAGTCTACTAGTAACTCAATTAACTTCGACTTTAAATATGAAAGGAATTTATTTATTTTAGAAATTAGTATATTAAATAGAAATAAGTATAGGTAAAAATTTTAAAATATATTTATATTATATCCAATGTTATTAATTTGATTTTTAATTTCTTAAATACAAAAACTTAGAAAAAATACGATGAAACAAAAAGCGAAGAGACAAATTAAATTTGTAATTACTCTTGAGATAATTTATGTACGTTTGAAACTAATAGGAAAAGTGAAAAACCAGCTAAGAAGTTCTTTGTAAATTTTCCATTAGTACGTAATAAAAGCACATTCATTTTGGTATGAATTTTATTGATCATAAATATAACATAATCAGAAATGAAAATATTTTTGCAACTTTTAATATGATATACTTCTTTGCTAGAGAAAATATTTAATAATAATAAAATTTGAACAATTCCATTAATAAATTTAACACGAGAAAGTCCAGATAGAAAGTTTATACTGTATTTAGAAAATTTTAAGCTTACAAAATTCNTTATATATATATATATATATATATATATATATATATATATATATATATAAATATTTTTTATCTATTACCTAAATAGTCTACTCTTTTCGTAACGAGTATAAAAATATGGGACCTAGTATTCACGTAAGGAAACGGACGACGGAAACCTCAAATGACGTCACCTGTATCGTCACGGAAAGCGAAATGGTAAAAATGCATTAATAGGAAGGCTGTTTTAGTAATGACATCATAAACATTACGTGGGACGATAGCATTTGAGTTCTAGCTGTCAGCTTGCCTGGTATCTGTTTATCACCAGAATTAAATACTAACTGGTCAAATCGGTCTACTTACGTCAAAAAGAACTCGTTATCGTATAGTCATCTCCCGTCGACCTTTAATCACCAAAATTTAATAGCACCGATCCCCTGACAAACAAACCTCCCTGCAAAATTTCAGAAATTTTCGACATAAAGTACAGAAATTATTTAGCTTCAAAGAGGGTGAACAAAATCGTGCTCCCACACACATCGATATACACAGAAAATACCACGAAATTTTTTGCATATCTCGACGTTTCAAGGTGCTCTGAATCCAAAAATGAAAAACTTGGGGGTCCAATCACCATACTTTCCCTCTGTTGTATATAGGCCTATATATATAACAGAGGGAAAGTATGGCGATATATATACAACAGCCGGAAAAGTAAAAGAAAATTTAATTAATACAACAACATTCTCCAGCGTCAATTTTATCAGACAGACGTTGACAAATAGTGTGTATTTATTTAAGATTTATTAAGGATATCGTGGTCGAGGACCTCTATCGGGTGCCCTTTTTACATAGTAAAACTTTAATTTAAAGAATACAATAGTATAATAGTGCTTTAACATTTATATTGTAATTAGTTTTACTCAATTTTCCTAAAACATAAGAGTTGTTAATAGTTTTTTTTGTTTGTTTATGTTTTAAATTTACTAATAGGTGTAATTTCTTTAGTGCAGAAAGATGGAACGACAATTTTCAGCTTACATTTTCCTTCATCTGTTTCGGAATGCGAGTTTGATTCTTGACAATTTTCTTTGCCGCACGAATTAC